CGAAAGCGCTCTGCATTTGTAAGGTGCTTGCTCCCCGTCGCCAGCCAAGGGCACGTCTTCACTCTCTCCGGCCCCGAACAGTGCCAAATAGCTCTCCACAGCAGCGTGGGATTCCCATGTTGTCTACCCTCAATGAGCTTATAAGCAAATTTCGTAGAGAAATCTCCATTCTCCGATGGCCCTACCAGATTCGATCCGGCCCCCGACTGTTACTCGGTGGCAGCACCACCGCAATACACCTTAATACCAGCGGCGGCAGTGACCCCTCAAAGAGACTCCAATTCCATTGCCCGGAAGAAATCGTGAATCGATTGACAATCCACTGCAATTGGGTCTCCGGGATTGGATGCAAAGCCATCTCCTCCAAAGTAGACGGGTCAGGTACCCATTTGTCCTTCCAGAAAAAGGCCGATCTCCCATCATTAATGACCCATCTGAATCCCTCTTGCAACTTGGCCCAAGTGCCTCTAATAGAATTAAAAATGGCTGACTGATTTGTGGCCCTTGCTTGGACTGGGCTACAGGAGAGCCCATACTTTGCCTTAAATACCTTGGCCCATAACGCCTCCTTATCCATCAACAAATTCCAACCCAGCTTCATGAGAAAGGCTTTATTAATACTCCTTAGCTTTTTGATGCCCAAACCCCCCCTACTGTTTGGCCTACAAACCTCCTCCCAGCTTACCAGGCTAAGTCTTTGGGCTTCCTCATCTCCTCCCCAATAAAACGGCCAGCACAGTTTTTCAATTTCAGCGCAAATCCCGGCCGGCAACATCGTGGATTGCATGTAGTAGTAGGGAATTGTACTGAGAACAGAATTAATCAGAGTAAGTCGGCCTGCCAATTTAAGACTTGACGTCTTCCACCCGGCCAGGGACTTTCTCACCTTATCCACCACCTCCACATAAAAATTCCCAGTAATTCTCCTATGGAGCAAAGGCACTCCAAGGTACTTGCCTAGATTGGCAACCTCCTTGAAGCACAGTTTCTATGCCACACATCGATGATGCTCCCGTCCCAAGTTTTTGGAGAAGAAAACCATAGTCTTCGGTTCACTAACCTTCATGCCCGACACCTCACAAAACCCTCTAAGAGTCTCTTTCACTACTGCCACCTGCTATTCAGACGCCTCCGCAAACATAAACTCTCCTACGGATGGCGTGTGCCAACCTTTCAATGCACAAAACAAAAAGATAGGGTGAAATAGGGTTACCTTGACGGATACCCCGAGTTGGCTTAAACTCCTCTGACGCCTCCCCATTCCATTGAACCCTCATCGAGGTAAAGGTGACACATTTGAGGATCGGTTTCACAATCTCCTCCGGAAGGTCAGCTTGGTACAATGTATCCTCAATAAAGTCCCAACGTATCATATTGTAAGCCTTCCCCAAATCAATTTTGATTGCCATGATTCCCTTCTTCCCACTTTTCAGCCGCATATTGTGGATTGCCTCTTGTGCCAAAATCACATTGTCCGTAATACGGTGTCCCGGAACAAAGCTCACTTGTGCCTTATCCACCAAAATCGAAAGCACCGGTTTGATTCGATTAGCCAAAATCTTTGTGATGAGCTTGTAGACCACATTACAAAGGCTAATGGGCCTAAGTCTCCAAATTTTTGCGGCCTCTCCTTTTGTTGGGATAAACACAATTAGAGTTTGATTAATACTTTCCACCTCCTTATCCCCTTGAATGATACCCTTCACCAACTCACAAACATAACTTCTCACCACTTCCCACTTCTTTTGGAAAAATAAGGCATGTAGGCCATCAACACCAGGGGCCTTAAGTGGATGCATCTCTTTTAAGGCGGCAAAAATCTCTCGATTCATCACTATCCCCGTTAAAGGCTCTCTCTCCCCTGGTCTCAGTTGTGGAAACGCGTCCCTTACTGAGTAAACGACTTGCGGTGACGGACTCGAGATATATATCCTTTGTAGATGCTGGCTTGCCATCAGTCGTAGCTGCTCTTGATCACAAACCACCCGGCCTTCATCATCAATCAAGGCTTCCACTCTATTTTGCCATCGTTTTTATTAGACAAAGGAGTGGTAAAACTTGGTATTCTGATCCTCATTCGTCGCCCATTCCCTTGATGACTTTTGAATAAGGAGTAGCTCCTCATGGGCCAGTGTTTTCGCCAATTCTGCATTAAGGCATCCTTCCAATTCATCCAGCTTCGTTGAGGAATAAGACTCCCTTGTTTTCTGAATGCCCCCAATTCTCGCCACAATCCTCTTTTTATGCAGAAAAATATTTCCAAACGTATCCGCGTTCAATTGGTGGACCTTCTCCCGGAAGTTCGCAGTTGCCTCCACAAAGGGGGACCCCTCTCTCCATTCCTGCCTAAGAAACTCATCAAACCCCTCATGCAATAGCCAGCTTGCAAACAACCTAAACGGTTTCTGCGACCCCCGATTACCCTGAACCTCTCCACAGTGCACCAAAAGCGGATGGTGGTCAGAAAGGATTCGTGGCAACTGTTGGATGAAGCCATTGGGAAACCTTTGAAACCACAAGTCGTTTGCCAAGAAACTATCCATCTTTTGCCACAGATTGCGGCCTACCCAAGTGAACTTAGTTCCCATCGTCTCCAAATCTGCCATCCCCCACCTCGACTCCCAATCAATCAACAATTTACATGGCCCCGATGGTTAGAAGAGCCCCCCTTGCTATCCGACTCGTGCATTATACAATTGATATCTCCTCCAATAATCCATGGTGAACTAATCGTTCTCCCCAAATCATTCAACTCTGCCCATAGTAGCCGCCGCAATTTTGGATTTGGGCTGGTATAAACAAAAGATACCAAAAATTCATCCCTCCCTTTACAGACTCTCGTATGAACGTACTGTTTGTGGCATTGGATGATATTCACCTCCACATACCCTTCCACATGATCTAGATTCAGCCGGAAAAACCCGTCGCTTCGACCCGAAAGGACCGATCAAATATGCTATACCGAATAAAGTCGTCGGCTTCCCTGCCACTAATTCTTGGCTCATACAGTGCAACCACATCGGGATTGTATTGCTTAATCATCAATTGAAAATTCCTGCGGAATTCTAGCTTTTTTGCGCCTTGCGCATTCTAAGACAAGAGATTAATATTCATAAAAATTATGTACACAAAAGGATAAACGGGCACCTTAGAGAGAAATCGGAGCATCCGCCAAGCAAACGACATCCTCCTCTATTTCACAGCTCTCCTCCATTGGCTCTTCATTATTGGCTTCCCCATCTGCATTCAATTGCCAAATCCCCCCGATCTATACATCTGGTGGCTTTCTCCCCTCTGGAAACTCTAACTCGGTTTGAGTATCCATCATCACTTTTTTGTCCGGGTTGTGGGTTAAGGACTGCTTTGATTCATAATGAATCTCCACAGCCTTGTATTTTGTTGGGTCCAAGGTTGATGTGTCCGGTATTATTGAGATATGGGCTGGTAATGTTGGTTGCGTTTGGTGGGCTTCTTGTAAGGACAGGTCAATGTGTGGGTTCGGGGTGTGGGAATGGGTTGAGGCTTCTTTATGCTTGGTCTGGTTCTTGGGTTGGCCGTATTTGTGCTGGGTGATGCTTCATTTGAGAAAGGCACTTTGGGTTTGGGCTGGGCATTGTTGGGCTGCAAATGGTCACTTTTGACTTCCCTTTAATTTTCCCTTGAGTCTCTCTTCCCTCTTGTCCCTCCTGGGCCCGATAACCTGATCTCTATTCCCTGGGCCCCATTTGTGGACCAGACATGGGAGGCAGCTCCGATTTGTCTGTACTAGTTGACATCGGTTGAATTCCATATGTATCCACAGATGGATCTTGGTCAACTTCCTCGAGAGAGTTTAAAGCATCAAACTTGGACCCTCTTTTTGCCGTAGAAGGGAAACTTCTACCCCCTTGGATTTGCTCCCCCACTTGCGTTGCTCTGCTCTTTCTTGTTTTAGCATAAACCCAATCCCCGTAATGTGGCAACCCGTGATCCTTCATCCCACTGGTAGGCTTTCCCCGTCGATCACCGGATTCCTAACTTCGCCCCCTTCCTCTGATTTCTTCTCCATCGCCTGTTGGAAGACGCACCCATTGGAACCATGGCCAACTCGCCCACATTGTCAACAGATAAGGGGCAGGTATTCATATTCCACACGCTGAATTTTGTCCCTTAGTTCAAACCGAGAGCAAAGTGGTTGTGCCAAATCGATCTCAACCGCCAACCTAGCAAACCTCCCCCTCGTTCGAGTTGCTGTCTGATGGTCGATGTGCACCACTTTTCTCATAAGCTTTCCAATTAGCCGCCTTAGGAACTCTTTATTATAGTAATGGACAGGGAGTCCAGGGAGTCCAAGCAGTTGCACCACACTAACATAGACTGAACCCTATGAGTGTTTACATCAAACCCATTGTACCAAGGCTCAACATGAAGATAAGCATCAAATAAGATCCATAGACCCCCACAAAGGATCTTCACAGCATCTTCCGGGTTCCAAAATTTCACAAAGTAATACCCATTTTGTTCGTCCAAGATGGAGAATCCTTTTGTATTTCGCCACTCTAGCCGGCGTTTGAAGGCTTCAAAGTTATTGACCATTTTTCCCATCAATCTGAGTACTAGAACATCCTTCCAGAATCTGGCTAGCTGTTCCTCAATCCTTTCCGACGTAATGGCCCTGGGTGTGAGGCTTGTTTCCGGGTCGCTTCTGCTACGGTATGAATGGTGTGATTAGTACCTAGGTTCCGACTAATCAGTAGCTATTAGCTACATATAATTTCAGTTATGAATAAAATATTTAAAAGATACACAAGATAATCTTTATTGTGTATAATAAATTAAAGGAACAATTAGAGGTTTGATTAAATATGAACCATTCCTAAAGGTTGGTTGATTAATAAAATATAGTAGGTTTAAGGTGTAGGATGGGAGGTGCAAGTCAGCACTTCTACTACCTTATTCGGTTGACAACACAACACATATAATCTCTAGTCTTTTGACAACTCACCCACATATTCCTTAAACAACACTTGAAGATTGCCTCTTCTCTCCTTTCTCACTCTCGCGCATCCACACACACTCACACACTCAATTCCATTTTCTTCTTTAAAATCCAAATCCATTCAACCGAATGCAAATTTCTCCGAACAGCCACTTCGAATCACAACAGTATGACCTGCGTTCTTCCTCCTTTAAGCCACATGAGACCATCAACCCTCCTTTCTTCCTCTAAGCTGCACCCATCCCTCAAAATTCTCCACCATCACTGGACATCAACGTTTCTTCTTCTTCATCGTCTGAAACCACCATTCGGCCAAGACCACGATCACATAATCCTGCACAATACTCTTTTTGCCATGTTCTATCAACTGTTAATCTGTTAAGAAGGATAAAGAAGAGGAAGAAATTGAGTGTAGGAGAGAGTTGCAGGAAGGCTCAAAGAAAGGAGTGAAAAGAAGAAAGAGGAACTAAAATTTTGTGTGGAACCGGTTCGTGCTTGGAAGAGTCGACCACTTGGGCATTAGGATAGATTATTAGTAGCCAGATCAGGTAACAATCTTGAGAATTCCTTAGCTAAAGTTATTGATTTAAGTTTATTAAATGATTGGTGCGAAGTAGGCAAATAGCACTTGTTTAATTAGCTTTTAGATTTATGAGTTGCATGCCTAGAGGTAGGGATGTTAATAATGTTAATTTTAGTCCAAAGATGGATTATTGATTTACTGGGAATAGAGAATTAATGTTGTTTTAGGAATATAAGACACCATGAAAAATTATACGTTGAGGGGGATTATTGCTTATCTTCAGAAAATGCAGAAAATATCATATTTGTGGCTCCCTGTTTGCAGGCCGTTTTATCCAAGCTCTGCAACTCTTTTTCAGGTTTTCTTTATATGAAAATCTTCTGCATTTAGTGAAGTTCTCAGTTTTTACGGATTGCAAAACGGATTTGTAGATTGTCCGGAAACAGGATTTGAACGTGATCACCATTTTCTGAAAATCTGTCCTGTGCTGCTGCTTTTGGAGATTCGTTTCTCCTCTTGACTAAACTGTTTTATAGAAATTCTTCTGATGAGTGTCTTCTATATTTATTGGAGTTTATTACAGACTTTAGGGATTGTAAAATGAAGCTACGGATTGCCCAAAAAGTGGATTTGAACTTGACTATTGAATCTGAAAATTCTGCAGAAACATCAGCTTTGAAGTACTGTTTTAGAGAACATCTTTCTCCTGAATTTGGAACTGTTTTCGTTGATTTCTTTTCGTGGAACTTTTCCTTAATAAACCTAGTTTATAATAGTTTTTACGGCTCATTAAATGGATCCTTTTTCTGACCAAAAACCATGCTCAGAAATAGAAGCTTTATTAGTCCTTCGCTGAAATTTCAGAATTTGGTTTCCTTATCTCAACTACTCTTTTCAAACGAAGTTTGCTTGGTTTTCATTCTCTGATGAACAAGTTCTTAACCTAGAACTTTAGCTTTTTCGAATGACATCTAAAGTCTTTGGGGGAAATAAAATAGAAAATGCATCATTGACATTAGCGTCATAAAAGGAAAACCATTATATATGAATACTACTAGTTAGCTTTGGAATACAATTAAGTGATAATGATTCAAAATGCCCTATTAACAGATTTGGAGAAGGATTGTAATGAATAAAAAGAAACAAGGTGAGTATCTCCTCTCACGCTGTATATTGTAATATTGTCTCCCCCTCTAAGTGCATGATTGTCGAGTGATGTTTGTGTACTTGTGCTTGTGTTCTTTAAATGAATTGCAAGTTTTGTGTACTGCTTGAACATGTGTTACGAGTACTTGAACCTTATGATATGAGAACGTGAGTTATTACTTGTGTGTGTGCACTAAACTTGCTCGCCCTTATTGAATGAAATTGATTGTCCTTACTGATCGGTTGTGTACTTTATCAAACCGAGATCTCTTACTGTCATGATTTGTAAACGAATACTTGTGCATGAATTGCCATGAAATTGTTGAGACTTGGATGTGTACATTATCACACCAGTCTCGGGGCCCTGCTACCATAGATCGAATCCAACGGGTCGGCATTGGGCACAGACGTATGGATAGACTATGGATAGCTTTAGTAGGCGTGCACGAGCTACGAGTACTTGACTGTTGTGGCCACTTGGAGTGACGGGTTATTGTTATTGGATTTGAAATGTAACTTGAACACCAATTGGGAATCTAACTTGGAAGACAACCCAAAAGACCACATAGGTCTTCGGTAGTCTCCAGTTAAGATCCACTCGTATCCTCATGAGAATATGTCAATGGCCTCGGATATGGTCATCTTTTATGTGCTAATGTGACTGAATGTTTCTTTTTCAAATGTAATTCATCGCGTAGATAATATTAGTCTAACAGTTATATTGATAGAATTTTGTAGACAATTTAATAAATGAAAATGATGGATAAAAATGAACTGTGTGAATAACTGCATGTGTATGTGACTTGATTACTGTATGGAGTGTGAGAGACTGGGAGTTGTTGTCTGAGGTATTCACTGGGCTTTAAAGCTCATCCCATTATAATTTTCTCCACCACAGGTTAGCAGGTGAGTTGAGGCCGCGATTGGGTGTGAAAGGGATTGATCATATTTTCTTTTGTTTAAACATGAATGATGTTTAAGTTGTAATGGAGTTCCTGTAGTCGAAGGCGACTTTGATATTAGATAGTATGGAATATTGAAAATATCATTTGCTTTAGTTAAATTTCCGCCGTTTAAACTAGAAATTAAATTTGTAATATTTAGTTGGTCTTGTATCACAAAGCCTTGGGCGAGAGATTGTCCAGCGGCAACTCATTTAGTCATCAGACACGATTTGTTTATCGAGCTGGAGATTTGGGTCGTCACACTGGGAATGGGGCCATCCGTCTCGAACATCACATCATCATCCAGGATCTCAATTTCCTCCTCATCGTCAAAGAGATTGAATTCCGGGTTCCATTTACCGTTTAGCATCGTCTCACGGTATGAAGGTGGGGGCGGAGGGCGATTCTGTGCTTCAATTGGCTTGGGGTCCTCCGAATCGTCTATCATCATCCAGAATATGGACTATTTTTTGAAGACGGGTAATATATACAAAAAGAATTACAGTAACATATTTTGAGGTAAATAAAATATTATTTCAATGCAATTTTACTCGAGTCCTATAACATTGTAAAATAAGAATGTTAAAAGTAAAATAAAATCAGTAAGTGAAGTTGGCGGGTTGTAAGTGGAACTACAAATGTATAAAGGATCTAAAAAATATCCCATTTGCAATGTTATATACAAAGTACTCTAAAATAGTTGGCTTTTCATTGCTCTTCCTTCTGTTGGACCCTGGCCTTACGTACTTCAAAGTCTGTTCATTTAGATGCAAAAATCCCTTTAAAATAAAAAAAGTTGAAAGTAAAAACACTTATAGCGGACTGTTTTCATTGGCCAGAGGATCTCCGAAGCTCGAACTGGCTGACTGTCATAGAATAAAGGTTTAATTACAAATAGATAAAACGTTAGGGACTTGTTCTGCAATAATGTATAGCTTGGCATTTACCATCGGCATAAAAGTAACTGTTGCCGGCCAGTTGTAATCCAAGAAAATGTATGAAATTACTCCCTCTTTCCTCCTCGATCATTCTGATTCATCTTTGTATACGGAATCCTTAGATTCCGTTCCTGACAATTGTCGGATGGAAATGGTGACGACCACGCCGTCTTTGGCGATCAAGGATACGGAACTTCGTTGGCAGGAACAGGAGCTTTTGACGGTTATGGCGGAAAATTCTTTACGTGCTCAATCAGAAATAATGGAGTTGAGGGAAATTGAGATAATGAATGTCTCATTGAATCATTTAGCTCGAATGATGAACTTTGGATAGAATGCGCTCTGTATTGCGGAGAGACGAATTTTCCCAAGAAGAAATCTCTCATACAGAGTTGAAAACCCTAACCGAGGGATTATCGAGAAATTGCTCGGAATCCTCGCCGGATATCGCTGGCGAATCGGCGTTATCAAGGAAGTGCAGTCACCGGAATTTGCGATTTCTTTTCCCGAGGGTGACATGAGAGCTCCGCAGGACTTTGGCGGGGAACAAGATGTGTTCGATTGGCCGCAATACTTGATTTCTTCTGCTCGCGTTTTCGGATTCGGGTATCAGACAGATTCACATTCGTGCAGCAATCGTTGGCTGAGGGTTTGCTCAAGATTGGTATCAAGTTATCGTGGCGGAGAAGTTCGTTCGTCATTTGGGTGGTAAATAATCGAAGGAGCAACATGATGTCAGTTCAATAAAATTTACAGATGCATCACCAGGTAATTCTATTCCTTCCAAAAATGTAACTGGAATTTCGCCTTCCGTTGACATTTAGGTCGAAGATGATGTTCTATTGTTAACAAAATGATGCCTATGCATGATTATGATGTTGATTTACTGGACATTAAGGATGATAATCATGTGATGGTTGTTAACTCTGTGACTTCAAGGGAATCACGAACCAAGTTGATGAGATTATTTTGGCTGAGAAAGTAATTGATGATTCTATTAAAATGAATTCTATTAAATGAATTCTTCTAGTGAAGAAACGTTGCTATTGGGTGAATTTGTGTGTTTGAATGAAGAAAATATTTCAGGAACATTGGAAATAGTAAAAGATCATGTTGTTCCAATTGTTGATTAGCTGAGGCATTCTCGTGATTTAAGCCATGATCTGATCGAAAAATTAGATGAAAGTTCTCTGGTGAAGCTTAACAGGATAACTGATTCTTTGAAATGGCTACTACGGGGGAAATGATATTGGCTCTCGGAAGTTTTGTAGTTGTGAACAATGATGCAGGTGAAAAGTTGTTTGGTTTTGATATGGAAATGATGATGTTGACTATTCGAAATGTGCATGTATGGGTATTGTTGGGAAGACTGGTACAATTAGTATAGAGAATCAGAAAACTCTTCTTGGTTTTTGTACTGATGGCGGTTCGTGTATTACTGAGGATAATGATTCTTTGGAATTAGACTGAAGCTTTAATGGTAATATGAATACTTGGGTGTTTGATCCTGTAATCAACACATATTGTTTGGTTGTAGTAATGAAAGTAGACAGGGGGACTAGTTTTATTGAGAGAAATATCCCTTGGTAGCTGGTTCAATAAGGACATTGAGGAAGTTGTATTGACAACTTTTCGGTCGAGGAAGGTGTCACCATTGTATTTAGCTACAACTAATTCTGATCTTGATGTTCAGTTTAAAATGCTTATTTGGAAGGGAACTGTAACTTCCTACTCTTTTCCAAACCTTGAGGACAAGGTTGATTTTTAGGGGAATGGAATGGTTGTCAAAGTTCTGTGGCATGCCTTGGAGAATATTGCATGCATTGTTACAGTCAATCTCAATTACTTTTGGGATTTTAATCAAGGAAGCAGCTTCATTGGAAATTGGAAATCTGTATTAATATCAGGGGGTATATATTTATATTCAGGGGCTATATTCATCGGGTGTTATTGTGTCAATGTGTGAAGGAAGATCTCTGTCATTCGGTTCGCTGGAAGATATTGTCAATTGGAAGTTGATCGTAGGAGGAGTTGCTGAAAATGTTAAGAGGAGACAGTGGAGGGATTTAACTTCTAAGATTAGTTGCAACAGGATGGAGGGAAGCTATGATCTTTCTCTGTGGCATCAATGCGAAGTAAATAACAGGTTTGCAGTAACTCTCTCATTGATTTTTGTTTTGAGGTTGAGTTCAATTTGTGAGAGATTCCTGAGTGAAGAACTCAAGTTGATGAATGTGATTCTTTTGTTTCGAAGTTATTGTTCAGTTGCTTCAGATGAAACGAAATTCTTCAAGGTAATAACGGACCAGTGTGATATTGTTAATCTGGTTGTTGTTGGCAATATGCTTGTGACATGTATGCTTCTGCTTTGCTTGAATGTTGATTCTACCTGTGTTGAAAATAGCGAGAATTTGGTAGTATTTGTAGTTTCTTGGAAGATTTGGTTTCTTGAAAAGTGGAAACTGATGTTGAGAATCATTTCTTTGGAGATACTACTGTGGTCAATGAGAAAGGGAGTATGGATGTGGGATTTCATGTTAGATTTGGGAAGAATACTACTGGTTTGACGCCTAATGTTCCACCTGGACTCAAGTGCGGTTTGGTTAAGAGAAAAATATGAACTGAAGAATTCTTGGATAGGATAACTTGAATGCTGGATTTTATGGGAGCTGAGTTGAAGGAGTGATATTTCTTTAGTGAAGCAGAATTTGGGAATTCTCTTTGAATCATTAGCACTAGTATTAAGTGACCAGAGTTATATGCCATGGGGTCTGCACCTGAGCACAATCCACAACATTCAAGTGTGAAGATTCCAGAGACCTTGGGACAAGCTTGGGACTTCATTGAAAGGTGACCCATTGTTTTGCAAGATGAGTGGTGTGTTTGTCACTATATACTGCTGCCACATGAATACTGAAGTCTACTTATCAACTGGGCAGTCTTGGCAGCAACTTTTCTTCCTTCAAATGCTACCAAGTCAAATAATATTGAAGCTGGTTATTGGTGTTGTTTTGGGAATCATATCTGCTAGTTTAGTTTTCTTCAGTATATAAGTCTTGAGGACAAGACTTAGATTAGCAGGAGGGAGTTGTCATAGAATAAAGGTTTAATTAGAGATAGATCAAAGGTTAGGGAATTGTTCTGCAATAATGTAATAGTTTGGCATTTACTGTCGGCATACAAGTAACTGTTGTCGATCAGTTGTAATCATCAAAGAAAATGTATGAGAATACTCCCTCTTTTCTTCTCTATAATCCTAAGAAAATGTATGAAATTACTCCTTTCCTTCTCTATAATCCTAATTCCTCTTTGTATACTGAATCCCTAAATTCCGTTCCTGACACTAACCTGGGCTTGGGTTCGATTAATCGGTGATGATAAACTGATAATCAAAAACGCAGGATTTACCTGGTCTTTGGCCTGATGAAGAATTACTTTATTAATTGCTTTTGCGCTCCTGCATAACTGTAACTGGAGAATCCATTTTCACTCTGATTACCAAGGTTGGAGGATGCTTAATTAAGAAGATGATTTCCCTGCCATACTACAGAGTTATTGTGGCATCTCTCCTCATCGTTCATCTTACAAAATAATTCATGTTCAATCATATCTTTGATGTACGATTATACAGCCATCTTTCAAATCTAAGTATGTCTAAATTAAGGGGAATTAACTTAAAAACCATGAACCAAAGACCAACAGCTAACCAATATTTTTTGAAGATTAACTTAGGAACACTTCAAAGTCTGTCAATATTTAACTAACTATACAATATTAAATCCAAGTCTGTCAATATTTAATTAACTATACAATATTCAATTAACTCCATATACTCCATCCTCAATGTCGAGGCATGTGCCATCCCAGAGCGATCAACACAATACCTGTCAAAGAGCTAAAAATAGAGAACCCATATTATTTGTAAAATGAAATAGAAATAAGAAAATAAAAAATAGATTAATTAGTCTGAATACTTACAAGGCAAGTAGTGTAATCGAGCTCAAAATAGAACAGATACGTTGATATCTCTGTAATTTAGTCTTCCTACAACAGTGTGGTAGGGTGGGACGTGCTAGTATAGCCAATCCAAAGCAAAGTCCAGTGATAAATCCACCCGCACTACCAATTAGATTCATATTTGGTAGGATAAAAGAAAGCAAATCCACCACTGCTAAAATGAACCACCCCCCTAGTAGTGCCTGAATGTTTAAAAACAAATCAAACATTAAGGCAACCTTACAAGCTGGATTATCTGATCATTGCCCCCTGCTTTTGACATTAAGGCAAGGCAAGCCAAGGAAAAAAACAAGCATTCAAGTACTTTAATATGTGGGCTAATGATCCACAATTTAAAGAGCTAGTGAAGCAGCATTGGCAGCATAATGTGAAAGGATGTAAGCAGTTCCAAATGATGAAGAAGCAGCAAGGTTTAAAAGTGAAGTTGAAGGAGCTAAACAGAATAAAATTTTCAGCAATAGATGACCAAGTCCAAACATGCAAGCAGAAGATAAATGAGATACAGGACATGCTAAATGTCAACCCTTGGGACCAGGAACTACAGAAGAAGGAAAAAGAAGTGGAATCGCAATGACTGTCAGCAGCTGGTTGATAGAATCACAAAAAGAGTGTAATGCTGGAGTACAAAGCACCTTTCATACGCTGGTCGATCACAACTGGTAAACTCCATATTACTGAATATGCATGAATATTGAGGGAATGCATTCTTGCTACCATAAATAGGGTTTGCAGAGAGTTCTTGTGGGGGAAAAATGATGCTGGAAATTGCTTGCATTTGTTAGCATGGGACTTAGTCTGTAAACCGAAAAGAGAAGGAGGCCTGGGAATACGGTACCCAGGAATATGGAATCAAGCGGGTGTTGCAAAACAAGTTTGGGGCTCGGCCACAAAGAAAAACATTCTGTGGATTAAATGGGTAAATGAGTACTATCTAAAAGGGAGAAGATTATGGGAGTATGAGCCACCTGAAGACTGTAGTTGGCATTGAAGACAGTTAATGAAGATCAAAAGAAAACTAGCAGAAGGAATTGCACAAGGAAAGTGGAAGCCAGGGCAACTGGAATATAAGACAAGAAATGGTTATAACCTGTGGAGGGGTCAAGGACAGATATTCAGAGAATCAGAGGTAGTCTGGAATAGACTATGCCTACCCAAACACAGCTATATTGGTTGGCTTGCGTGCAGAGATAGACTGCTGACCAGTGAACGAATGAGGAAGATGCATATCAGAATGGATCAAGATAACTGTATTCTATGTGAGGCAAATAAGGAGGAAACTGCCCAACACTTGTTTTTGAGTGTAGGTACTCTGAAACCTTGTTGGATGGAATAAGGCAATGGCTGCATATGGAACTGAAGCAAAAGAGACTGCAGCACTTGGTACTTAGGATCACAAATGTCTACCGTTATCAGAAAATGAAACTGAAAATTGCCAGTGGAGCTATAATGGCGTGTGTACACCACATCTGGATGGAACAGAACGCAAGAAAATTTCAGCAAAGTTAGAAACAGGAAGCTGTGAGGTTGGAAGAAATCAAGAAGGAGCTCACTTGGAGAGTGCATGGCACATGTACTAAACTAAAGTCCGCAGATTTCAGATACTTAGACAGCATAGACATAAATACTGTATAGCAGTGGGAGTAGATGCAGCATATAAGATACCAGCAAGTATGTATTGCAAAGTGAGTTTTCAGTTTTGAAATACAATTCACCTTTTACCAAAAAATAAAATAAAATAAAATAATCCACAAGTTAAATAGCTCTTTGGCAGTGTCATCAGGTTCTGTAGGACCTTGACAGCAAATGCAAGGCACTCTCAAATAAACAAAGAAAAAAAAGAAAGAAAGAGAGAAGATAGGATAAACTTACGAGCTTGTTTTCCTGCAAACTCCAATTCACAATGATATCGCCTAGTTTTGCTCCAAATAGTCCAAATGCAACGCCGATACCACTAGTGTAAATGCCCTTTCTCAAGAAAAGGCACGAACTAATGCTCGACGTTAATCCTGATGCCAGAACAATACAACCAATACGCCCTGCGAATGGTGAATTCGAAGTTAAGCAAATAGTGGGAAGATATCCTTAGCACCACTATAAATGAACTTTGTTACAAAATTAATGGTGCATTGGGATCAACATCCTCGAGCTACACAATTACCACAATCCAAGCGTCAAAAAGGAAAAAAAAAAAGAAGAAAGAATTGCGTGGAGACAAAAGAGGTGGCCTAAATCAGTTTAAAGCTCTACAAAGAGAAGCATGAAGCCAGCATGATATCACGAGCAAAATCTTAAAGAAAATGTTAATCTAAGAACAATAGAAGCGCTCTCACCCTTGCAGATCAGAAGCCCTAATGTAAGTTTTAAACTCCACTGGTCCTGAAGCATCCAAGTTTACACGTGTTTTTTCATTAACCAACCTATTTCCAATCTAATGTAGCACGTGTATGCACATCCATCTTAACATTTTCATTGCTGCCACTCTCATTGGTTATTCATTTTCATATTCAGTGTCTCAACATCCCTGAAGCATAATTTTCACAGGAAAAGTAGGCGACAAACAAAAGGGAATCACTTCATGCAAATTATTTACATATGAATGAGCACATACACACATATAGTGCATGTATGACGAGCCACATCCCTACCCTCTGAAAAAAAAACCCAAGAAGTCTCACAAGATGTTCTACTGAAACATTAAAGTCATTTAAATTTTGCATTTCCAGAAAAGGAAATTTAAAATGAAAGTACAGGACCTTTCAAGCAAGAAGACATTGAATATAAATATAAAATGAAACCTCTCTTGCCATCTCTTGAATCTCCTTTTCAACCTCACAAAATTTTCTTTATTTGTTTTGGTAAACACCTTACAAAGAAAGTTCGGAAGTCTGAGAACAGTTTGCTTCTTAGGTAAAGCAATCATCATACACAAAATATAAACTCTGTATTTTCAACAGGTATGAAAATCATTCGAAAAGATTGATGGCCTTTTTCCATGACTGTTACTTGAAAGATATACAGACAAAGAAGAATCTAACATGGCATACCCTCCCCTTCTGTCTAAGCTACCAATTTTCAGTGTAGATATCACTTGAAACATGACCAGAACTCTGTAAGTGTAATGTATGATCTATCAACATCATCAACATACCCAGTAGTCTAGCTAAGATACTAAATCACAGAACTATAAGAATGAAAACGAGCATACTTACATGAAGTAGACTGCATCTCAAGGCTGGCCGCAGCAAAGATATAGCAAAACCCAAAGAGGAGATGACTGAGTCGGTCGTGCAGAAATGCTGAGGTGAAAATCATACTCAAACGTGGGTGGCTGGAATTCAAAGCACCCATGCGTTCCAAACTTGACACCAGAAAACAGAAAATTTAACACACAATTAATCCCCAAATAAAAAAATAATCCCATCAATCACACACTATAAATATGAGAGAATGGATGAAAGAAACTTACGTGCTGTTAGTTGGTCCTATGGAACCGAGTACTTGGAGAAAGGTTCCTTTATCATGAACAACTCCGTGCGACATCTCTGCTATGAACACGGCAGAGAAAACAAGAACCACGAGGATACATACCCATGGGATCTTAACTTCATCCTCGCCGCCATCGTACTCCACATCCAAGTTCCTCCTCACCTTTATCTCTGTGTTTTCGCGAAAAATGATAGCAGATTTATTTGAATTGAATAGAAGAAGAAAGAATCGAACTACAATGTTTAGGTCAGTTTTACTTTTTACCGGAGAAAAAAAAAGGAAAAAAATATTATAATAGAGGAAGAGACGGGCGAAATTAATATTTGGATTTCTTTTCCATCCCATCACTAGAGAAAATATTATTTATCCTAGTTTAATTCATACTCCCTCCGTTCCGAAATTATTGGATTTCAATTTGATACTCTCCTATCTTGAAATTATATTGGGATTTCATTACCCTTAGGAATGTATTAATTAAAAAAAATCCAAACAGAATAACTATCATAGTATGACGTTCCATCGATCCCGAAATTATTGGTGTTTAATTAATACTCCCTATCCTAAAATTATTGGGATTTTACTTCTCTTAGGATCGTATTAAAATAATCCAACCCGAAATTATTAGTGTTTAATTAGTACTCCCTCTATCCTAAAATTATTGGGATTTTACTTCCCTTAGAATCGTATTAAAATAATCCAAACAGTATAGATCTATTTTAGTAATTTTTAGGACAATAAGAAGATAGAAAGTAATAAAGTAAAAACAAAAAACATACCTTTCCAATCTATTTTCCAATTCATGATTGGAGACCGTAGGCGAAAGGTTCAGTCGGATCTTTCCTTCTCTAGTTCTGCTACAGTGCTCCTCGAACGAAGAAATAGGGCAAGAGGGTAATACGAACACAAACGAATAGGGTTGTTGGCCGGATTGTCTGTGGGTGTTTTTGGTCTTTTCACAGAAATTACTGGTTGACTCCAAGCCGGTGGGTCAAAGGGGAATTTTCAATTTTTCTAAAATATTATTACTACTAGTAGTAGTACTACGTTATTGTTCTATCCAAAAAGAAGTTTCCCTTCTAGAAGAAAAAAAGGAGAGTCTCCGACAAAGACCCGACCCGGAATTCAGAGTAGTCCGGAAACGACGATCAGAAACTCCAGTTTCTCCCCTCCGCGTTCAACCTCCGTTGTACAGCGTGACGTCATCATCACGGCGGCGTTTGAGACCCTCGGGATTCCGTCCTTCCCGACTCCGAACCCGCGAAGCTTCCCTTACAGTGTGAAGCAACAGTGCTGGGAGAAAGAGGATAAAATCAGGGGCCGTGACCCGGACCGATGGCGTCCGGACCCGTTGGGAAATACGGTGTTCCGGAAGCTTGTTGGTTGCCCCGGTTGCTTGTGCCACGATTACGACCATATCATTCCTTACTCCAAGGTACTACTAATGCCGACGACCTTTTTTTTTTTTTTTTTTTGGGTTTAAGTTTTGTGTATTTTTGGTTCGGCTTTTGAGAAGATGTTGTTTTTGCTCTATCTGAAAATTTTGCAATGCTGGTCATTGAATCGTTTCTTTTATCTGGATTATTAAATAAATGGGAATATGGTTCTTATATTGGCTTGAACTGGTTGTTCTAGGTTTCAAGTGAAATTCACATTTGGCATTGGAATTCTATCTCCAGGGTGATATTGATGATATGTTAATACTAATGTCCGAGGTTTTCATGCATGATTAACTTTGGTCGATTCTAAGTCGAGACTCTGGTGAGACAATAATATTAGCTTAGGAATCAAAATTTGCAGCGAAAATTAAGAGTACAGATTTCGAAAGACTTAAACATGAATCATGCTTTGATGGGAAGCAGCCGATGTTTTTAACTCCATGGTCCTTAGATATTTAACTTGTAATGGTGATTAGGGAGTCTGGACGCATTAGTCCCTGGCACTATTGCTGTCAGTTAGATTGAAGCCATGGTCAGCTACCTCTGAATTCTCTTTTGTTGCAGTGTACTCTTAGCATTTTAAAACCTTTTACGCTATTCTTGATGCATTAACATCAGTTCTTGTACTCCGAATATCCTTTTTTGGGGGAATCTTTGATCAAACTATCTAACTCAATTAACTAAATGAATCATTATGTGAAATTGATAATCCATGATTTAGTTGCTTAAAACTTCTTTGTTTTCCTGGAATACTTCAGCATGATGAAGCCCTTCTTTAATTGATTAGGCATCTCTACCCCTAGTTAGCTCGAGTTCCTGACTTTTCTTGATGCTGCTTTGTTTGTTGATTTAGTTGTTGAGTAGTGTGTTTTGCTGAATTGTTACTTCTTATCTTTCACTTGTTTAATTTTCGTTTGCACTCCAAATGCCTTATTCTTTCCTAATCTCTTACAACACCAGTGTATACAAACTCTTCCGTTGAACATTATGTTATCTCATGACTCATACATTTGTCTTATTTTCCTAGCTTGTCTCTTTGCTCAGTGTTTTCTGGTGGCCAGCCAATTTGATATCCTTGAAGTGAGAACTAATATTTTATAGAAATGATATTTGTAGGGAGGCCAAAGCACTTTGGAGAACTGTCAGGTTTTGCAGGTATGCAATTGCATCTAAAGAGAAATGACTTGTTACTTTGCTCAATGTCTTACCGTTCGGACTGCTTTATCTTTTGTGATTTTTTCCCCGTCAAATATCATCTTCTTGCTTTTATGTGGATCTATCTTTCTCTTTTCAATTTGAAAAGTGAAAGGCAGCCTAGGCTCATTGTTAAAGCTATTTCCATATTGACTGAACTCATGGTTTCAGTCATGGAAACTTCCTTGTTCTGAAATATAAGTAATGGATAATATCTTCTGTGTTTTTTCAATGAATCTAAAGTTAGAAATACAGTAGGATAGTTTTATGGAATTCGGAAGATATTGAGAAAGTCTTGAGCTGAAGAACAATTTGCAGCACTTTCGATGTCTGCTGACGCATTTCTTCAAGCTACTGTAATAGCACTTCTAAGAATACAATAAAATTCTAAGGCTCTTTACTTTTCCTCTTTGTTCAAGTGAAGGAGCCTTTTCCTCTTAGTTCAAATGAATGTTTTGCTGAGGTTCTCAATAATTGAATGAAATTGAGTCCAGTGATATGCATTCAAACTTCCTTCTTTCGTTACTCGCTTCCGTTAAGTATTTCACTATCTCTCATCCAGCTTGTCTGTTTTACTGTTCTACCATTCAGTTAAGATTTTGGCTAGCTCACGGTATTCATGCTTCTATTTGGATCTTTTTTCCTCTTTTCAATTTGAAAAATGAAAAATGAAAGGGAGCATTTTTCCCAGACCCTGTACATGCAGGTGCTTCTGAAAATCAGGCTGTTCTATTCCCTTCGCCCGCCAACCCCCGTGTTGATCTAGCATTATAGAATATCCTCCAGGTGGAGGTGGATGATGTCATCTGGGTTTTTCAATGAATCCAAAGTTAGAAATACTGTGGAATAGTTTTTATCGGATTCAGATTATGTTGGAAGTCTTGGGCTGAAGAATTGTAACTGCTTATGCATTTCTAGAGTCTAAGGCTCGTTACTTTTCCTGTTTGTAATGAACGACTCGTAGTTAAAATGGATGTATTTCTGAGGTTCTTAATATTCAATGAAAATGAGTTCCGGCTTTACTTACCAAAGCATTTTTACATTTCATTACTCACCTCTGTAGAGTGTTTCACTGTCTCTCATTTTGCTGGACCAGCTCGTCTATTGCACCGTTCTACTGTTCTGTTCTGCTTTTGGCTAGTGACATTACCATTCTATTCTGCTGGACAGTGCATTACTAGCTCTAAAATCAGTCCAAATGGAGTATTTTTGGCATTGTTAAATTCAATCTCCGGGCTTTGGTTTTGGGTACATTCTGTTACATGATCGCCTACCACTACTTTTGGGTCATATGCTTTTAGCTTGATTTCCTTAACCAGTTAATTAATGTATTGCAGATCGTGACATGGATCTTCTTGAACTGTCAGCACATGGTAATGTTCGTCATGGACAAGACTCCACGGGATGTAATATCTTATAAAGCTATTAGCATTTGTTCAAAAGTAGGTGACATAACAAAACTGTACAATGTCTCAATCATGTTAAGCAGGAAAATGCTAGTGTCTATATTCTTCGACCTACATTGAAGTTACACTGAATCACATATGTTCAAGTATCAAGTCATTATACCCTAGTGTTTCAAACTCCTCAGCTTTCACACTTTCACAAAGGTTTCGCAGTTCATTTCTTCTTGCTAACAATTTAGTGCAAATATGTCGTGCTGTCTTTGTTGACCACTCAGCTATATGCAACAGAAGCGTCAGAATTCATATTCTTGGTCATTTGCAGTACTATTTTGTGTACAGTTTACCATTTACCATCACATGGCTTTTTCATGTCTTATGATGCCCGTCGACAAGGATCACAACGCACGTAGCTGACAGAGTATGGAAGCGTTTATGGGCTCTTAAACTACCAGCGAAAATTCTACACTTCACTTGGAAGCTCCTCAATGGCCGATGCGCTTCGTTTCAGCAATTGAGAAAAAGTGGTGTTCCTGCACCATTAGGATGTATAATATGTGGAGAAAATGAAGAAACCAATTCCCATATTTTTCTAGAATGTGAAAAAGCCTAGCAAGTATGGAGACTATCCCGTTTTGGTTTCAATTTTCAAACCGGAACAGAGAAGAAGTAAACCTATGGTTGTCAAGGTGGATACAAGAAGCACCAGACACTGCATCTTTGGAGGAATCACTAGTAATTGTGGAACATATGGAACAGCAGATATAAATTCTATTGGAAAAACAAAGCCATGCCACTGGACGTTACGATCGGAAAGGCTCAAGCAGAGTATTTTGACATTCAAAGAAGCTGGAAATTCCAACAATCCTCAATATTGACAAGCATTCCTACAACTATCACCCCAGCTGAAGTAAATGGCACAGTTAATTTAATTTTTGACGGCGCTTTCAACCAACAGACTTTTGATGGAGCAGGAGCATGGACTGTTATCTCAGAGAACAACTCAAATGTCCACCTGCAATCAACAAAATTCAAAGCCTCCTCCGCACTTCAGGCAGAAACCATCACCTGCCTGGCAGCAATAAAATATGCCGTAGAACAACGGCTAGATGTGATCAATATTAGCACGGATTCCACAAATTTGATTCAATTCCTAAGGTAGCCAGATAAAGCACCACTAGAAATTAAAGACACTTGAGTAGATATACCCTATTTATGTCTTAGTGTCATATTTGTACAATCAGAAAGGTAAGCAAAGAGTCTCTAGGATTAGTTCATAACAAAGCAAAAGAATATACTACCTCCATTTCATTTTACTTGTCATATTAGGGTAAAACGAAATCTTTTTTAACTTTTCATTCCCAAGATGTATTTAATTTATTTTTTCCAATTTCATCCTTATTTCTCTCGAGTTTTAATTGGTCATATCAATAACAACTACTTGTAGTTTAATTTGCTACATATTCCCAATACAATTAATTAAGGATAAAAAGGTCAATACATATAAAATTATATTCTCAAACATATTTTTCTCAATTTCCGTGTTTGCCTAAATGCGATAAATAATATGAAATGGAGGTAGTAATCAACAGTCCGTATCTACTTCTTAATAAAAAAATTTTCCTTTTGTTTTTCATAAAAAAAAAAAAAGTCTTATGATGCCATCCATTTATGTATACAGCCACCCCTATGTTAATTAATTGACATTATCTTCGTCGTTGCCTTTTTGGATCTGTAGTTTTTTATGCCAAAATTACAAACAGAAGGGGGAATTCAAAGTGATGTTTTGTCCATCTTACTTTTTTTCTCAGAAGTTGAAAGGCAAACAGTGGGACTAATGCATTTAAGTTTTTGATGACTAATAAGAAAGGTGAACATGTCAAACTGAGACTGAATGAGTAAATATTCATAACTTAAGTCATCCAATTTTGTTAACTCTGACTCAGATAAAGTTTTTTATCAGGCTTCTGATGTCAACAACTCTGAGAGACATCATGCATGCATAATTGGAAGTAAAATAAAACCAGAGCAAGTTGAGGAACCATATATAGATCAATGTGATTTGCCATACTTGTTAAAAAACAAAACTGGAACCATCATTTTAATCGTCCAACTCTTCTATATATTGATACCATAGAGGATTATAAACTAAGTTCTTTGCCACGATATAAACATTTTCAGGTAGTTGATTTACACAACAAGAATATATACGAAACAATGCAAATCTCACTGGCCAATACTCACAAAATCATGATGATGGATGCTTCTAAATGCCAATGCTACTATGCCCAGGAATTCTCCCCTGCTTCATTTCATGCCCACATCCCTTTGGCAGCATAGATGTTGGACATCACAGCATCGTCCCCAGCAAGGCTTTGGTCCAATTCAAGCAGCTTATTTCGAGCGATTGAAGCAAGGTCTAGATACCCTTAATGCTACAAGCACTTAACAATTAATGTCCTCCATATGACAGCACTTGGTTCAATATGCAATGCAAAGATAAACATGTATGCATCTTGTAGCATCCCACATCTCGACAAAAGAGATCTACCATGCAGCCGTAGTGAGGAAGTCTAGGCTTGATTCCAAATACCTCAGTCATCATCCTGAAATATCTTTTCCCCTCTTGTAACATGCCTGAGTGGCTGCAAGCCATGAGGACCCCAATGAAGGTTACATGATTAGGAACAACGAAACACCCCTTGTGACTGCAGCTTTTATTTTCTTCTTCTAGGGCAGCGAAAAGCCTTAATGCTTCTTCTGCCTGGCCATTAATTGGATATTCAACAATCATGGATGTCCAACATGGTACATCCTTCTTCTTCAACTTATCAAATACGTCTTTGGCCTTTACAACATCCCCACATTTGACATACATATCAATGAGGGCATTTTCTAGCTACAAGTCTGCCTTTCATTCCCTTTTTTGGCGAATGTAATTATATCTCCTCTCCAATTCCCAACTCCCCAATATCAGCACAAACCGATAGAGCAACCGCAAGGGTAACGTGATCAGGCTCTACATTTTCAAGTTGCATCTGCCCGAACAACTCTAAACCTATCTTTTCTTTCTGGTTATTAACGGATGCAGCAATTAACGCAATCCAGCTAACCACGTTCCTTGTCGACATTTCTTCAAACACCTGATGTGCGTCAGCAATATCCCCTCCGGCCGAATACATACCGACGAGAGAAGTTTGGAGGACACTAGAAGGGTTTTCCCTCAATACTTGGCGGAACAAAACGATAGCCTTGGAGGGATTGGACTTTTGGTATCTTCGGAGAACCTCATTGGGTCTTTTAAAGCTAGGTTCAATTGTGCTTGCATTTGGTTTGGCCAACCTTTTCTGTGCTATGATATTCAAGAGTTTCATTCTCACTTCATGCTCAACATTTAATAACATCATACATCAACACCACTTCAAAAAAAAAGTCATACATATCAACATGATTAATCCTTTATTCGATACAAAGAAGTGTCTAACGAGATATGCCTACCAGGGGCAGATAACAACAATTACACAACGAAATTTTGTGCAATGATTGACATTTAACTCCAGGGGCAGATATCCAATATTTTGATGATAACCCTATGGTCCTGCCATGGATTTCGTCAAAATCTTCAATTCCTCATTATGGTTTCAGAGATTTCTGGATGAAGGAGAGGAAGAGCAAGAGTAAATGAAGCAGAGGGAACAATTTGAATCAAGCTCCAATTTCACCATTTAAATTAATTGTTCAATTTTGATGGCGTATTAAATGAACTAGGTTATGAACTAAGTATACAAAGTTTCAAGATGTCGTCTTTTGATGCTTTAGAGTGGGTTAAAAATTTCGAAAGAGGTGTTGTTTAGTTTCTATTTATGGTTGGGCCATTGATATTCAGATGAAAAAGCTGAGACCTTCAATTTGTGTGTTCAGTAAAGGGGATGTGGAAAATTTCTCGAAAAAAGTCAAGGAGGGATTCAATTTTGAGGGGAGGACTTGTGGGCACCATTAATTATACATGTATTTCTACTCCGTGAGCACTATTTTAAGGTAACTTTCAATTCACAAAGTCTGTACTTTCATTTTTGTTTTTGTCTCTTTGATATGTTAAAGCCTTTTGTTGGAAGGTTGATTCAAGTGTATTATCTTTTTTTCCATTTTTAGGTTTGTTTTGATAACAAAAGAATGATTTAATTATGATTATCTTATGAAGTTCATTTCTTTATTGAAGTAGATTCTTTCTTGAAGTTTTCACGTTATTCAGACCAATCAAGGAAGGAGAACCTTTCTCCTATGATGAAGCATGAGAGAAATGGTAACATGACTGCAGCTTATGAATGTTATCAAAAATCCATTGATATATCACCTTCAGTTGCATATGACATGATTCAAGTAATAGATTCCATTATTTGGCACCAAATAGGCAAAGATCTTGATTGGGACATGAGGGAGTTAATAAATACTTCCTATATTCTCTCTCTCTCTCTCTCTCTCTCTCTCTCTCTCTGTATTCTGACGGTAACGTTCTCCACTCGAGGCTATTGGATTTCCTAAAAACTCATCCTTAAGTAACATTCTCCTCTTAGTTCAGTACTTATTTGAATTCCGTTGTTTATGTGATTGTTCTTTTATCATGTCACATGGTTCATTCAAATTTGTGATTGCTTGGACTTCACCATTTATTTATGTCATTATTCTTTTATCATGTAAGAGGGGTCAAATATATTGTTAGGACTGAACTAAGGTGAAAAACAACACAAGAACGATGAAGAAGCTACAAAAAAAAGCTGCAAGACTACTGCATGTAATCATCTCCACGTTAATTGCTACAAAACGAATAAATGCTTGATTATGTTGACTATTTTTCTTCCTGAAAAGTGTCTTAACTGTGGTTGAATATAATGTATTTTGCAATATTTTCTGTCTTCGCTTGGTTGAGATACAAATAAAAACATGTTGAGTTTTGATGGACATATAATCTACCGCGTTTATCTTGAGAAAATATGAAAGTGATTCTCACTATTAACAAACTGAAATTCTTGACACCGCGCATATATGGTGTAGTATAATTGACCATAAGAATAAGTTCTTCTCAGATACTAAGATAGTGAGGTGCCAATTTTAGGTATGTATATATTATAGATTCATGGAGTAACATGTGGGAGAGTATTACAAATCTGGTTTGCTACATAAGTTTTGGCAATATTCAATGAACATTCTATTGACATTTTCTTTACTGTTGCATATCCACTTATTCATGATGACATTGGCTGACTATAGACGAGTTCTCTGCAGTTGATACGAAGACCATATATGATATATTTTGGAAGCTGGATTTGTTAGCTTTAAAGGAGCGAGGTATGAAGGTTACACATGCAAATTTCAAGACGGTGAAAGAAAAGATAATGTTCAAGACGATATAGCAGTTGAACGAATTAGGCTTTACTTTTATTCGGGTATCATTTTCGCGTCGGGTTATAGAAGGATAGAGTGAACCTTAAATTGACTGCTTTGTAATAGCATAGGTATTTTTTACTAAATACAGCTACCATCTTTGATGACTGGAGTTTTAGTGCAAGACTCTTGCGATAGCTGTGCAAATGTGTAGCTATAAATATATTTTTTTAAATCAGTATTTCATTTATCTATTAACACAAAATTGAAGTTGAGGAACACAAAATTGAAGTAGAAGGTGCCGTACGGGCACCTGTTCGGACCAAACATCTAATTCTCATTATTAAAAAGATAAAAAATATTGTAATAATACATTTAATATTGCCATTAAAAAAAAACAAATTCAAAAGTTATTACCCCCTCATCGAGGGCTTTAGGGTTTGAGTTTTGATACTTTTCGATTAATATTTCCTTCGCGCTCAAAACCTCCTATGCTCTAACTTCCTCCTCCCTCCACCATGGCCGAATAACCTCCGCCGAAACCCCGACCGTGCCGGAGATTAAAGAAGGCTCTACTGAAGATATGGAATTAGAGTTTCAGGCTGAAGATAAAGCGGCTCAAGGCCCCGGCTTAAAGCGCCCCAGAGAGGAAGAAGAAGAAGGGGCCCTGAATGGAGAAAACAATGAAGAATCGAAGAAGCTAAAGTCTGATAAATCCGTTGAAGAGGAGCGGCTTGAGAAGGCAACCGAGGAAGGCGAGGTTGAAAACTCGGGTCCCATCGATTTGGGGCCGAAAAAGTTCGGAACTTCGGTGGAGATGTTTGATTATTTCTACAAGTTTCTGCATTTCTGGACCCCCAATTTTAATGTCAATAAGGTGAGTCAATGTGTTGGATTACGCCAGTGTTGTGTTTTTCTTGTGTTATTTTTAGGTTCTTAAAGTGGGCATCTTTAACAGAGGATGAGTGTGGGATGGGGTAGTATTTATGCATTGAACTTAATGGGAATCATTTATGATCAAGACGACTCTTTCTGGGACTAAGCAAGGCGTTTAATTGATTTGATGATTTGAAATCCGTGAAAATAGTTTGCATCCTTTATGGGGATTATTGTTGTTTTGGAATTAGATCTTGCCAATGAAAGATTGTTAGTTTTATTTGGATGAATTATTTGATGGACAAGTGAATTTGATTCAATAGTGGCAGTTGATTGTATTATTCCCATACATGATTTTCCTGGAGAACTTTAGAAGGTGGTTCTATTGGATGAAGGTTATTATCCCTTTACCATATAGAAGTGTAAAGTTACAACATTGCTCTGTGCTTGGTTGTGTCATTTAACTGGAGTGGCTAATTCATACTATGCTTTTGTACTTTGGGTATTCCTGGTAGAATTTAATTTACCGATTCCCATGTACTTTGAAGTTAGAATTGCCCCATGGCTCCAGATAAGTTCTAAAATATTGCCTTTGAGTTAAGGTTTGGAGCTTGGTATGTATAGGAATTGCAGATTGCGAATTTGAACATAGGTAGATACCATTTGAAATTATCTTAAGGATGAAATAATGTTCATGTGGATCATGTTGTTTTTCTTGTTGATCATGTTGATTTTCTTGTTGATCTGTCTTTTACCTAACTTTTACATTGACATTGAGCTTTTGACTTGGTTCGCATGGCTTTACAAGTATGGAAACAGGTAAGGGTCATTTTTGTGAGCATTTTTTGGAGGCTTGGAGAGATTAATTTGGATTTCAATTTCAGAAAGCAATCTATTCTAATCTGTTGTAAGCATTAAGTTAATATTTCAAAACTATCGTTTGTGTTGTTGAAGATGATGGTTACGGTATTCATCATTCTGATGTATTTTAAGTTTCTATTTGTCTCAGACTTTCTTCTCGTTTTGGAACATTGGGCTTGGAGGGAGTTATTGTCGATTGAATTTTTAGATTCAGAATATATCTGTTGCTTTACTCTGTTATTCACGCGAAATTAAAGGTCTGGAGATTATTATGTGTGTGGTTGGAGAAGATAGTGATAGAAAGCTATCTTTTACGAGTCATTTGTGCTGAATCACGGTTAGATATTTACCTTGTGTTGTATTTTACAGTATGAGCGTGTGATGTTGCTGGAGTTGCTCAAGAAGGGCCATCTAGAACCAGACAGAAAGATTGGTGATGGAATTCGCACATTCCAAGTGAGATACCATCCGAAGTACAAAAGTCGGTGTTTCTTTTTGATCAGGGAGGATGATTCTGAGGATGATTTCAGCTTCCGGAAGTGTGTTGATCATATCAGTCCTTTGCCAGAGAACATGCAAGTAAAGAACGATGTTAACAAGGCACTTGGTGGTGGCCGGGGTGGAAGAGGTGGCAGAGGTGGTGGGGTTGGCAAAGGAGGATGTGGCCGCGGCGGGCACTGGAAGGGTGGCAAGTCAAGAAACTAGCGGAAAGTAGGGTGGTAGGTAGCTGAAGTTCTTTGTTTTTGCTTACGCTGTTATTTGAAAGTGCGGCCATAGCGAAAAAGATTGGGCATCTTTTCTGTACGCACAATGAGATGATGCTATGTAATCTGAACAATTTTCAATTAGAACATGTGACGCCCTTTTTTGAATTGGGTACATTTTGTGTTATGGGTTTTTGGTTTTTCCGGTGTTTGCGAGTTTTAGTATTTTTGTTTTGAAGAGTGCGCATGGACCTTTGGTTTTGGTCCTTTTGTAGTTTCAGAAAACTCAAAGCTGAGTGAATAGAAATACTAGAGCGAAATGCAGGATTAGTTATCAAAGTTTAATAAGTAGAAGTGCCAACTTCATAACCTTTAATAGACCAGACTTGGGAGCAGCGCATTGTGGAATGCAGCAGGCAACTGTTTCGTGTTTTGACGGACTGAGTCCGACGAGATTAGTGTATTAATAAGAACACATGAGAGCAATTCTTCATAGGATCAATTGCAAATCAAATTACTCTGGCTTACCATATTTCGGGAAGTGCTTGACTTCAGTGAATTGTATTTGTTGTCCCTTGCCCAGTGAAGATCCTCCATGAATGATGGATTTAGTTCTCGGCTCATTGATGTTCTTCTTAGTGATATTTAATAATTATTACAATTTCTAAACTTGCCACTAAGGTGCTTCGAAAGTATATTCATAATTATTTAGACCGATGAATACTCGTATGTTTGACGATGGCATAAATGCTTTAAAGAGGAGCGCTTTAAAGAGGAGCCTAATTTCGCGACAGATAAAATAATTTTACAAATTTCAGGACTTCATAGAATTGTTTGTTGCCTAAAAACAGTGGGAATAAGGCATCAAGGTATGGATCGGATAGAATGGTAACTTATCGATGAAAAAATATATAATTTTGATCGAGGGCTTTTTTTTTCTTTTTTTCGAACATATATCTATGTAATGTATGGGCTAATAAACCAATAATCATAATGTATCTATGTAATGTAATTAATACTCCCTTCATTTTGAAATATATATCGTTTTAGGGTTTGGTAAATTTTTTTAAACATATGTGGTTTTCACAAATCGAGGCATATTTGACCACTTTTTCTAATGTTACCATTGCATTGGAAATAAAATAATATTTATAATGAATTTCTATTGATTTGTGATAAGTTGTATTGAAAATAAATAAGGGTATTTTTGTATTTTAAATATATTAATTAATTCTTTCTTGGTTTTGATGAATTTTCTAGAAAAACATATAAAAAAAATGGAGGGAGTAGCAATTTTAAAAATCTGATAATGGGAAGTATGGAACTGAAAACAGAACTAAATAAGCAGATGCATAATTAATCTACACCTAAGTGCTGCTGATAATTATCCATTAATCCTCACCACAAGAATTTAATACACCAAATACGTGATGAGTTGAATGCTTAGAATTAATTCATTTCATGGTGAAGGCACGACCTCCAATGCAGTAAATTCTTATAATTGCATTAAAACATTCACATTGATCAGATTGGAAAAACATCCACCGATTCACAAATGACTCCTCCGATTCCTCAACTATAAATCATGCACCATCTTTTTGGGTAGCTTAAAAGTCAGTTCATTATCATTAAGGGCTCCAGAAACCCACAAAACGAGTTGAAATTTTTAGCCATTTGCTCCATTTTCTAGTTTCTACCCATTTTACCAGATCTCAAAGATGGGAAATCAGTCCATTGAAGCTAGCTGGTCAAATCATGAAGTAATGAACAAAGAAGATGATTCTGCCTTGTTTGAGTCATTCTCATTTCCAACCCAACTAACCTCTCCCGATTTCAGGTATTTAGATAAAAATCATGCTTTTAGCCTAACTTTTTATTTGGTGTGCTCTTTTTCTTTTCTTTTTCTTCCCCCTCCTCCTCTTGAATTCTTTTATTGATCAGTTACTAATTTGAGAAATTTCTTAGTGGTGGATATTTAGGGCACGGTTCTCCTTTGGACCCCCAATTATTTGATTTCCCATTTCATCATCAAGAGCCTGCTTTTGATGCTTTGCCTCCATTGGAGATGTCTCTAAATTATGATCCTATCTACTCACCATTGGCTATTGATTCAAGCTCATGCATGTTCCAAGGTGATGAAGAGCTCATTTCGTCCCAAAAAGTAATCCATTTCGATGAACTATTTCAGTTTTCTAGTTTAACAAAATGGAACATTTTGGCGGATGGATGGAGTACTTCCTTTCCCTTCTCTACATATATAGTCTTGAGGGAATATTAGAACAACATTAAGTATTTCTTTTTACTGATTGTTTTTTTTTTTCTTTTTGGCCTCAGGAAATTTATGCCATGGCTATGGAGACGATGTTAGATTGCTGACTAAACCCATTGATGAAGTTGGTCACAATCAGAACAAGCCGCCTTCATTGGGATACTATAACATCTATGAAGGAGTAACTGCTCAAGGAAAAACAATGGTGAATATTGAAGAGAATATCGAAAATTGGACAAAAGAAGAGGAGAAGGCTGGAAGTTGTAGCCTCAAGAAGTTATCAAGAAAAAACATTTCAAAGCATTTTTACATGCCTATAACTCAAGCAGCCAAGGAACTCAACGTTGGTTTAACGCTCTTGAAGAAAAGGTGTAGAGAACTGGGGATTCGAAGATGGCCACACAGGAAGCTGATGAGCCTCGAAACCCTAATCAAGAATGTTCAGGTTCAATATGTACACACCTCTCTCTCTAATTCATTTCTTCAAATAGTGAAAACTTAATTGTGCAATGGATTTACTACTTATGAAGTGTGTGATTAATCCAATAGAAAATGTTCCCCAAACTTGTTACGTCTTCTATGAAAATGAGTACTTATATATTTTGTACTGATTTATTCGCATGACTACTACTACTTTAGATTAGGAAGCCTTGGAGAAGTTTTTTGGTAGAAACTTTGTTAATTAGCTTGATTATGAATTAACTGAATACGTCGAAACAACAACTAGAGGATTAAGGTGATCAATTAAGGGAGATATTGTAACGCGTCGAGCTTTTAGGATTTATGCTTAAACAAAAAAATTTGTCGATTCCAGATACTTAAAATGTGTTCTCCACATTAGGATCATCACATACACGAAAGCACGCACACACACACACAAATGTACGAGTGTCATTATAAACACGGATTTAGAAAAAAAAAACTTGAAAAATTAACAAGGGTTTTGGCTGAGGATGGATATATTTCTTGTTCCTTCTTTATGTAATTATGTATAGGAATTGGGAAAGCAGGAAGGCCATGCTGCGGAGAAGAAGCTAGGAGAAGCAATAAAGTTATTGGAGCGTGAAAAGAAGCTGTTGGAAGAAGTTCCGGACATGCAGCTTGAAGATAAAACAAAGAGGCTAAGGCAAGCTTGCTTCAAGGCCAACTATAAGAAGAGGAAGCTTATGGGAACTCAAATTGCTGAATCTCAACCTAATAATTCTTACAATAACCGAAAGGATTTTATCGAGTATGAAGAAGTACAAGAAGGAGAATTTAAGGCACTTCTTCCCGTGGATTGCTTTTCATCTACAAACACAATCTTTCTGGATTGAAAATAATCTTCCTTGGAAAATGATTAATCATAGATCTTAATCTTCTTCTAGTTCTCTTGATGATATTTTGGGAATTATGCCTCGTGTGTGAGCGTTTTTCTTTTGTTTCGTTTTTTTTTTTTTTGTTTTTCCTTCACCCTTGTTAATGTAATGTTTAGAGATATGGTACTCTAATAGACTATAATAGTAATTAATATCTCCTCTAGTTTCTTTGATTTTTTTAATTTTATTTTTTATCTTCCTGTATTGATGCTAGATAAATAGATATATAGTGTTAATGTTATTGGGCACGTTACAAAAGAAGTAATAATTGAAGATAGTATATCATTAAAAAAAGTTGACTTCTCTCTGCTACTAGGGGCGAAAACACTTTCATTGCGCGTTTCATCTCGTTCAATTTTCCCTACGCAATCTACATTAGCCATGGCCAGAAAAGCGAAGAAGCAAGGAGGAACGGCTGAGATGTCGAATCGGCTAAGATATGGAATCGGGACGATAAGTTTAAGGGTGGAATCAAAACTAAGAGTTTTTTGTATTCAATTAGTTGCCTTTCAATATTTTCTTGACCAACATTATCGTCTTCCCTATGTGTCTTTCAAATTTTCCTCCTGTGAACTCTTTTTCAGAATTGCACTCAACCGTTCTTTAGGTAGCAGACGTTTATCCCTTGTAGTTGGTGGACTTGAATTTCCAACATCTGTGGTAATTTCCTCCTTTTTTTTTCACAGTCAAACCTAATAAAGATTCATCCTTGCACTGATTGTTTGCCAGATTGCCAGAACCGCGACATCCACTGATGATCCTTTCGTCTTCCATGCATGAGTTACATCTGGGGCCTTGGATTGTTGACCTGAAACTATATTTTTGCCTTCCTTCTGAGTATTATCAGTCACAATATGAGTCGCAGGGTAAGAACCTTGTCCGCAACTTGTGTCGCAGAACCCTCCTTTTCCTTCAAAGTCGCAGGGGGCGCTTTCTCCTTTACTTGCGATGCTCTTTCTTTTCCATGTCGACAATTCTGAGCAGAATGGCCAATCTTGCAGCAATCTAAACAATAATCAGGCAATTGTTCATACATAACTTCTGGTAACATTAATATTCCTTAGTCCCTAGCAAGATTCGTTTTGGCAATTCGTGAAGAAGGTCCACTTCGACGCAAACCCTAGCAATTGAAGGTCTAGATATATTTATCGTTGGAACATCAATTTTAAGTGGCTGACCTATAATGCTTGACAACTTGCGGAGGTATTCTTCATTGAATCTATGGACCGGTAACCCTTCAAAGGATACCCATACTGGAGTGATTGAAGATTCTTCTTCCATGTTGAACCTCGGAGTCCACTTGAGTACCCTCATGATATGATGCTCAAGGGACCATAGTCCCTTTATCCAACATCTCTAAAAATCCTCTTCCAAATTAAAGTAGATCAAGATGTGCATATGATCTATCATCCCAAGCGAAAAACTTCCCTTGTAGCCAATTGTATTAAACTTACTCCACAAATACTCCATCTTCGGTCTACCCTTGGAAAATTTCCCCACCAAACAGAACTAGACAGAAGCTACAAACTTCTCATCCTCCTCTTTCGAAAGCAAGAGTGCGGGTTCACCCCTAGCAATTGTTGGGTTAGATTTGATGTTTCTGGTGTTGGTTTGTCTATTGGTTGGATGATGCTGCGAGGATTTGGCTTTGAAACATTGAGTATTTGCGCGAAGGATGGCTGTTTTGGCCGGCCATCATCCGGCTGCCTAGGAGTCGCCATTGAAAATTTTCGGACATGGTTAGGGTTTTTAGAGAGAAGTGAGAGAAAAAATTTTTAGAGAGAGAAAAATTATTTATTTTACTTACTGATTAGCTTAGCCCATCCCATTAGACATAATTATCATATTCTATTATTGCAAACTTTAATTGCACGAGTACCATAAATCCGCCCAAACAAAATCATCACAATTAGTAATTCATATAAGGAATTTATTTACATAATCAACAAATTTCAAACCTAATACAATACTAAAATGGGACAAGATAAATTAGTCATACACTTATCAGTAAATTAGATAAAGAATATATTTGCTGAATAACCAATCACTAATTAATTAAATAATTAATAGTGCGAACTACATTTTGCCCCCACCCCTCCCTCCCGAGTTTTATCCCATTCTACTATGACCCCCCTCTCCCCTCGAGTTTTGGTAATACTTCAACATACCCCTGAGTAGGGGTCAATTATTAAAATGACTAAAATGGCCATAATTTACATACACTTTATTTTCGTCCATTTTTTTCTCGGTTTAATTTTTTTTCCAAACCATTTAATATGAAAATTTCTTAAAGTTTATCATTTTTACATTTTAATTATAATATAAGTTAATAAATAAAATTTAATTCATAATTAATAATATAAATTTACAATACTTAAAAAATAATTAATGAATATTATTTTATTTTAGAAGATATGATATAGTTATTTGAAAATCTTATATTATTTGCATTATTATAAAAGAATTAATGTGGAATTTTATTTTAAAATTAATTTTACGATTTATTTTTAAAAAAATTTAAATTATTTCATGTAAAAAATATATATTGTAGGGTATTTTTGGCTGTTTACACAAATTGATGATGATGTTAGTATGATAAGGAGGATATTTGGTAAGATGACTATGAGTCAAGGTGGTACGTCGTAGTATTATCAAAACTCGGGGTGTTTATAGTAATTTGGGTTAAAACTCGAGGATAAAATGTACTTTGCCCTAATTAATAATCGTATTGTAAATATAATTGTATATAACTCCAAGTATTTTAGGTAGTTGAGATATTAAGGTACTTCTATTAGATTGTGATTTTATTTTCCTTCTTTTTCACTATTAAGGATAAAAAAAATTTCCTTTTTTTTTCACTTTTAAGAATAAAATTTTTTTTCTCCCAACAATAATTAATATCCCAAGTTATTAAATTTCTTATTAAATAAAGTACAGTAAGAGACAATAAACCATCATAAGCAAACCCGTGCACTAGTATGACAAACATAGATTTGAAATTGGGTGATCACGTGTATTCCTTTTCCAATTAAAAAAATAATCTTATCACTTAAAAAAATCGTGAATAACAAATTATATAGTTATAAACCATTATTAATTATTAATTTGAAAATGATAAAAATTTTAACGTGCGCATGAATATGATGTCAAAACTTTCACACATGACGGAGTAGGAGTTTTAGTCCCAAGATGTAAGAATTCAAATATTGATTAAGTTCAATCCTTAAGATGAATTATCACAATTTAGAATGAAATTATTTAATCCATTTGGTACACTTGATTTTTCCCCAATCTAAGGGAGGTAACAACCACAGAAAATTCCTCGTGTTTCCAGGCCCAAAATGTAAGCTAGCAAAAAAGATAGGGCCTCCCCCACACAAGGTTGTCACGTACTGGACTCTGGCAACATGAACGGAGGAGCTAGATCGGAGATACAGAAGAAGAATCGGGAAGGAGAAAAGGATTTTCTGAATTTTCATTCATTACACATATTTTTTGATGATTGTTTTACAAGTCCTTCAAGACTATATATAGCCCCGCAGAACATAAAACTACACTTTTACCCCTGTACTATTGATTTCTTACAATTTAATCCGAGGGCATGACAATCTCTCCTTGTCAAAGATAGTCTTGTCCTCAAGACTTAGACTAAAAAAACTACTGATCATAACAATCTGGAAATGATAGCTAAAATGAAGGCAAACAGAACTAGTACAAAGAACTAGGATAACAGAGATAGAGAAAGCACACAATACTATCAAGTCAAAACCGGAACCATTGAACACCAACGAGGTAACATTATTACTCGAATTATGCCATGCGATCATCTACATGAAGTTTGATCTGTACAGCGATAACACATGCTTCCCATGACCTTCCAAATTAAGGGTACCACCCCTGAAACATGTGGTTGTTTCTGTCCATGCTGTCATTGCTGCAAACACCGTCCCACCTTTGAAAATTGTTACGCTTTTAACCCAATCTTCACACAACACACAAACAGCAGGCATACAAAACAACAGCCTGTTTGTAGCCTCAAGACCATCCCTATCTTCAAGAATTGAGTCTTTCACATATTATTCACCTTGCTGGAAACTAAGTTCTCAACACTACAAAACTTACCAACACCACTAGGCTCAACATCAAACGAGTTCCATTGAACTTCAGTGCTTTTATGCCTCATACTGTCCAGACTGAATACTGAAAAAGACAAATATTCATCTAAATTCTCAGTATCTTTACCAAATAAACCCAACATTTTAACAGAATTTTTATCAACCATCAGTTGCAGAGATTCAGCGTCAACCATGAGTGAAAACACAGGACCAATGACTTTACAAACCAACTCAAAACTCTCAACAACAAACCAACCAACTTGAGAATTTCGTTTCCAATAGTTTAAGCTCACATTGTCATCTAACTCAACTACCAAAGGTGTGCCCTCCGTAAAAAATATTGAATCTTTACTGAAACAGACAATATCCCATGGTCGAGACATTTTACCACACATATACATTTCTATCGTTTTGATCACTGACAGGCGTAAAATAACGATCAATAGTGGTAGGACTAATCATAGAATCAGCTACAATCAATGGTACATGAACACAAATAGGTTCGGTCATCACACAACCCAATGCATAAATTGATGGCAAGTCATCTTCCATCACAGCATAGTCACAATTGTTCCCCGCAAAATAACTAACAGCATCAACTAATTCAGACATATCATCTACAAATTGATCACTAATGCCATCTAAGAACAAAGGATCACCAGTTGATTTCAGACAAACATCACAGCAAGGCACAAACTCAGAATCTACTACAATTGAAGGGAAAGGTTTACCATTTCGATCAAGTGCATCAGCAGAGTAGACCTCAAATTCGGGGTTGGCTTCATCTGACGAGGTGACAACAGACTTCATCACCAACAACTTCTTGGATTGCCGTGACTAGAGTTTCGCCTTGTTCTGACACCAATTCACTGGCCTCCCAAACATGGACAATTGTGGTCTGTCCTATGAATTCACCAAACCTGAGCTCCAACCGATCAATTAAATCCTCACAAGTGTGTAGCAGAGAAATGGCTTCCAGTCTATAAAGGAATTGAAGAGCCTCACCGGTCATGTAGAAGGAGGCTACGAATATCTTGCTCTCGTCTGTAATGATTACTTCAGTTAAATCACTTAAACCATTTACTTATTTACTATTTAGTTTAAATTACTAGATGTAATTTACAGGAAGCTGCTGGGAAGTTTCCTAGTCCGTGTAAACACGTTATATTCACTTTGAGGCTGATTTGGGAGGATTATCGATCAATGAAATTTCTGAAATTTTCTCCTGTTCCGACCTTCTCCCTTCTGTATCTCATTCTTCCCCTTTCTCTTTTTTCTTCCCCAATTCTTAAACCCTCACCCTCTGAACTCTAAATCTGAAATCTATTTCTTATTTTAATTTTTAAATTTTCATAAAATCCCATATCATGACACAAGGTTCATCGGGGCTTGGACTTAAACCCAGGATCGAAGCCCGTCCAGTTAAGGTTCTTCGCCTTTGGTCCTTTTGGGAAGTCTCCTCTTTTGGCATTTGAAGGACATGCCCAAAACAACTTTGATTTAAACAGATTTTACAAAGCTAAATCCACCGACGTGGGATTCACAAAACATTGCTATATACTACTACAATGTATTTTATGGACAAGGATATAATGAAGAACAGGAATCAATTGAAAAAACTATAGAATCAATTTAGAGTTTAAACAGTCCTCAATTTCATTACATATCAATGCTAATTTCTCCAAAATAATTTTCTCATAATAATCATACTGTAAGCTTATCCATCTCCCTTCTCAGAGCATTAGCCCTGACCAAACTCCCAATTGTATTGACAGCCAATTTTAGATCCTCAATTGGGTTCCCAGGAGCAACTTTCTTGTATAAATAGCTGTCGAATGTCATCTTCTGAACGTATTCGTCGGCGCACATCTCGACGAACGCCTCCCTCGCGGGATTCGACCGGTAAAACACCTTCTGCAGAATGTCCAGCACCTTGTATGTCGGCCAGTACGTTTTGTCCCACACTTCCAAATACTTCCTCAAATCTTTCTCTTCCACCATCCTTTTCCCGTTCTCTGATCCTTCCACGATTGCCTCCGCACACATCCGGCCACTCTTCGCCGCGAAGTAGATCCCCTCGCCGGAGCATTTCGTGACGTACCCCGCCGCGTCGCCGACGAGTGCAGCCCGGTCTAAGAGTCTCCTGGGTCGTGGGTGCTCCGGGATTGGATGGGCTTCGACCCGGATGATTTTCCCTCCGGTGATCTTGTCCTGTGCCCGGATTCGGGTCGCCAGCTGGAATTTCTTGATGTCGGTCTTGTGGGTTACGGTCCCTGTTCCGACCGCGACGTGGTCGCATTTGGGGAAGACCCACCCGTAGAAATCCGGCGAGACGTCGTCGCCGACGTACATCTCGGCGAGATTCTCGTAGTACTTCATCTTCTCGTCCGGGATTCTGATACGCTCTTGGAATGCTATGGCGTATTCGTAATCCCCGGCGTTGATTGATTTTGCCACTCGGGAGTTGGCTCCGTCGGCTCCGATGACGGCGTCCACCTCCATTGTTTTCTTCTCGCCTGCGCCGCCGGTTTTTGTGTTGTAGTCGGTGTAGTGCAGGACGTAGGGAGCTGTTGGGGAAGAGGGCAGATCCATTTTCAGGAACAGGCCGTTAATCACGGTGGCTCCGGCGGTGGCGGCTCGGTCCCGGAGGTAGGCGTCGAGGATTTCCCGGCGGACCATTCCGATGTACTCATGGGGTTTAAGAGTCTGTCCGATGTTAACGGCAACGTTTGACGGAGAAATCATCTTCATCTTGGTGACTCGCCGGTCAATGATGTCAAGCGGGAGGTCGAATTCCCCAACCATACACAGCGGGATAGCGCCGCCGCAGGGCTTGCAGTTGTCCATCTTCCGTTCAATGAGGAAGGTCTCAATCCCGCCCTTCGCCAGCGTCTCCGCGGCGGAACCACCAGCTGGGCCACTGCCAATGACCGCCACCCGGAGGTTCCGGCCGGTGATTTTCGGGCTAGTTTTGGCCGCATTAATCCCTCGGGCGCGCCGGGTTTCGACGGTGGCGGAGAGGGTTTTGGGGAGGGTAACGGAGTTTGTCTCCGGCGTGGTGTGACGGAGCCCGATGAAGTGTTTGAGGGCAATTGACGTCATTTTGGTTCAGATTCTAATGGTTTTGTTTCTTCACCGGTTTGAAGTGAAGCGAGTGTATTTTGTTCTGGTTTTTGAGAATGAAGGGGTGGGATTGCCTCAAGATAATGTGATTAGATTTTCAGTTTGCTTTCTGTGTATTTACTCCCGTTTTCCCAGTTTGAGCTTTTGAGGTTTGGAGTTCATGAGGCTTTTTGGACATTAGTACGGTGAGGAGAAATGATGGTGAGCGTTGCTGATTTTTGCATGTCTAACAGATGGCTAAATTCTGCCACTTGTTTTGAATTTCGCATATGGAATCTGTAATCTCATGTAGTATATCTGATTATGTTAGCGATGAAAAATTTCTGGCCTCAAACCCCTGAAGTTTTTTAATCCCTCAATAAATTATTAAGAAAGTAATAAAAAAAAATTACCCCCTTTCAAAAGTTTCATTTCAAACAAAACAGAGTAATCATTTTGTCACTTCTCCGTCGAGCACTAAGAGTATTGATTTTGAGTTGTGCAAAGGTGATTATAAGATTCATAACAGCTGAAAAATGTAGTTGAAGATATTTTGATACACATTTTGAGGTTGAAGGTTGAAACAGTGACTAAAAATATATACTCCCTCCGTCCCATAATTATTGTCCACTTTGCCCAAAAAATTTTATCCTAAAATTATTATCCAATTTGAGTTTTTATGGATCAAGTTACACATTTGTTCTTAGTAAAAAACATTATCCATAAAATTTTAGTGGTTAAACAATTACTTATGTAGGGGTATATTCGGTTGTTTAAGGTAAAATATAGTTAAGTTTTACAAAAAATAAAATCTTTCATTTTAGTAAAACTGGACAATAATTATGAGACGGAGGGAGTACATAAAATTAGTACTTCTTTGGTCCCACAAAATATTACACATTGAATTTTTAAATTTATACTAAAAACAGTACAAAATTTAAAACTCAATGTGAACTATTTTTGTGGGACAAATGGAGTAGTTAATATAGAAAAGGGACTATTTTTTTCAATAATAATATTGTACTCTACAAATTTAACTTTACTCTTATTTCTATTTATCTATTTACATAGTCTATCTACTTGACATTTCAAATGACTTCCTTAATTATGGTTTTCTTTTTACAACCAAACAATAAATTAAAGACTAAAAGAGGCTTTTTAATCCTTATGCTTTTTTCTTCATTATGTTTTCGGTCACCACCAAGATTCTAAAAATCACCAAGATGAAACTGATGATCAAAACCCTTGTGGTTCTAAGAGGGATAAAAATTAGGAGAAATGTTAATACGTTTTTTATTTTGTTTGTTTGTTTGTTTGTTTTTTTTTTTTTTTATCGTCGCGCAGAAATCTAACTCCAAAAGAAATTCAGGTTCTCTCTCTTTACCAACTGAAAAGGGAAATTCCTCCTCTTAACCGCATCCTCCTTGCAAATTGTATACAGCAATTGAATGGAAAAAAAAAACAAAAACAAAAACCACATTATCAACCTTATCAATGTTACTTCTTTACCTGAATACAGCCTGGGTGTTAATCCTAATTATTCAACTTGGCATATCAATGCCAATTAATAGCAAACCATCATCCTTACTGATTTTATGCGGATGAGAAAACATGACTACAAGTTTAATCTAATTTGTATAAGACTAATGATTAATTTAGTTAATATAGAGATGTGTTGTTCAGAGGACCCCTTTTAACCTTTTTCAATTGATAAAAGGGAAACCTGATTTCTTGGTGGTGGATAATTCTCTGCTTCGCGGTAATGACCGGGAAAAACAATGAAGAAAAAGGAAGGAAAAAAGATTAAAAATCCTTTTAATTTATTATTATTATTTTGGTTGTAAAAGAAAAAAAAATTAAAAAGGTGATTTGGAATGCCAATTAAATAAAATGTAAGTAAAAATGACAGTACAGTTAAATTTAAAGAGTGGAATATCACTACTCTATTTCTTTTTAATATTTTGAGATACAAATTGATAAGTAATAAGTAAGTAATTACAGCTTTATTTACATAGGACCGTAATTATAAGACACAGATTAACATTAAATTTAGTTTAATCTTTTCACTTTATATTTACGACCATCCATATAGAAGACCTACACACTCTAGTCAATGATCATTAAGAACTTCAAAAAATGCAAACTCGTAATTTGGTAGTCAACGTAGTTATTGAATACTATGAAGGTTGCCATATCTACAGCTGAAAATAAATTCAAACGCAACTGTTAATTATAGTTCCAAAGAAATGCAAACAAATGTAAGATGATCGATCCTGCCTGAGCAATAATTCTGGGATGGAGAACTAATACCTTAAAAAAATGGATCGCTACAACGCTTAATTCAAATTGATTGATTCAGATCGATCCACTTAATAATACTAACAGTAAAATTTCTTCGATTTATCTAATGCTACTCGTTTACTGTTTTTTTTTGGGAGGGGGGGGGTAAGTTCTCTCTTTCGAGCAGGCTTTTTCTCCTTAGATTTGGCCATTTCAATAATTAAACACCCAATATATTAGTACTCCACATTGAGACTGAGTGATTAAAAAACAAGAGTGAAACTTAAAACGGGTCATTGAACTATTAGTTAATTATAATACATGTCATTAATAAAATTTATTTGTATAATGGGTCACCTTACAGAGCAAAAAATTCATCTGAAATTATTCTGTTGATTTTGACCGTTAAATAGTGACGAAAATATATTTTTCACATACTTTTGGGTTCAGGGGTATTTTCATCATTTTGTTATTTTTAAATTTTTAGTTTTTTGAATTTTTTTTATATTTTTTATAATTCTTCGTCTTATACTTCCTAACTAAAAATACTGATAGTATAATTTTTAAATTTTAAAAATTAATTTAAAATTCATTATCTCGATACCATTAAAACGGGGTTGTGGGAGAGCAATACAACCACAGTATATACTTTTTTATTATTATTAACTGTATTTTTTAACAGAGAGAGTATTAAAATTCAAAAAAAAAAAAAAAAGAACTGAAAACTTCCCGCCAAGCTTAGACGACTGGTTGTAGGAGACGTCATTCTCAAATTCCGCTCACGCTAGTTCTGCTAATAGGTTTTTAAAATTTTCCAATTGAAATTAATTTAAATTCCGATCATTTTTTTTCAGTACACACTATAAGCACATCGGCTATTAGTTCTGATTTGAATATGCAACTAATATTTGATGGTATAAGGAGAACTTTAAATATGTCGTGTGTGTTTTGTACGTTGATTTTTACAAGACGAAGAAAAGTCGATTTTTTTTTTCTATTAGCTCCCAATATCAAAAGTCGAAAAGTTTGGATCTGCTAGATCGCAATGATTAGGATTTCTAATCGTTAGTACTACCTCCGTCCCACAAAAATAGTCCACATTGAGTTTTTAAATTTATTTTAAAAACAGTACAAAACTTAAAACCCAATGTGACCTATTTTTGTGGGACGGGTGGAGTACTTACCAAATACTCCCTCCGGTCCTTAATATAAGGTATTTTGATTTGTCTTAGGTCTAACCTAGTATACATTTTTAATCAACAAAAAAACCTTAAAAATATTACATAATAATCAAGAGAACACAACAAATGTGAAAATATACTTTTAAGATTTTTTTTATGAATTAAAAATGTGTGCTAGTAAAATATAGAAAAAGTCAAAATACCTTATAATAAGGACCGGAGGGAATAATAAAAATCAACAATTTCTAAACTTGATTAATTCATTTGATCCTATGAAATTGCAACTTGCAATCATGGATAAAGGTTATGGATGAGTGCAGGATGAGTGCATGTCACTGAGGCCGTTTGACTATGCGGGGTTGAGTGGAGATGGAAAGGTTTTGGGTGAGCTTTCTAATATACTCTTTCCGTTTTAATTACTTCATTCCTGCCGAAATAATTATGCAATTTTAAATTTTACTTCAAATATAATTTTTTACTAAAAATAAAATTCAAATTGGTTAGTAACTTCGAAACAAAGAGTAGAAACATAATTTATAATATAGTTTGTGATTTACATTGAAAACAATACAAATCACAAAGATGGGGAGTATATAATAGTTTGGATTTCTTGTAATATTTTGGTGTTAAAGGCACTATTCATAAACTACAATATGGACTATTTTTTAGGACGGAAGAAGTGTCTAATAGTTCGAATTTTCTGTATTCTATATTAATAGTTAAAAATCATATATTATAATGAGAACATTTCATTGAGACAAATCAAAATATATAGCAGTTTGATTTTGATAATAATTTTGTGTCATATCCCGTGATTTTGATGCTTGGCACGTAATTTTATACTTTTCTTGTTCTATAAAAATAGTGTACTTTGTTGTATTTCTTCTGTCCAAAAAAAAGGTCGAATATAAATTTTGAAACATAAGTTATAGACATTTTAGTTAGGATGGAAGGGCATTGTTCGAATTCAATAAAATTAATTATTTTTGTAGGCACACCATTCACAATCATTTTTGAGTTATATATATATATATATTTTAGAATTAAAGGTTAAACTTATTTGGATTATACCTTATTTATTTTAATTTTCATAGTTAAAAATTTTAATAAAGATAATAAATTTCACTCAAAATAACAATTTTTTTTTTACATACTGTGAAACTAAATATGTTTTATGAAAACTAATTAATTAGTATAACAGAGTATAACAGGGAAATGTGTTGGGCTGGCCGTTCCCCTCAATTGGGCCAGCAACAACAAGGAAAAATAAAACCGAACCTAACTAGGCTTTGGTTTTGGGAAATTTGACCGAGAAAAGAAAACCCACTTCTATTGGGTTTTGGGTTTTGTTTTTGATGCCTATAAAAGCAATGGGTTTTGTTTTTGATGCCTATAAAAGCAAGGCTTTGTGCACAATTTGTGCATGTTTTTTAGCCGGGAGAGAAGGAAAATTAGGGCAGTCGCCAAAGGGTGTTGTGCGAGAGAAAAAGAAAGAAAGTAAGGGTTTAGTTTTCGGTTTAACTCTTTTTTGGTTAGATCCTTCCAGTCCTACTTTGTGATAGGTGTGTGTGTGGAAGAGTATTGTTGTAATCCACCTTTGGGTGAAGTCCTGTGTATCCACCGGTTGGTGAAGATTGTTTTCCATTATTGTGATAGTGGAGATTTGACTGTTGTTACAGTCCCGTGGTTTTTTCCGATTTGGGTTTCCACGTAAATTCGTGTGCCTCCTTTATTTTATCAGGTCTTGAATTATTTTGCTTATTTGGTTGTCCTATTTTATCATATCTGGAAGCCTAGAATGAAAGATTTGTTGTATTACAAAGATTTGTCTAATCCTGTTCTCGGGGATGAAGGTAGGCCAAGTGATATGACTGATAAAAAGTAGGCTGATATGCACAGGAAAATTGTTGGTAATATTCGACAGTGGATTGATCAAAGTGTGTTTCATCACTTTTCGGGAGAAACAAAAGCTGATAAACTTTGGGAGAAAATCCAGAA